GGGGTGGGGGCAGTATCTGTTCTCTAACCAGTTTATTCCAAGCTCCTAGTGCAGCAAATAAACAGCAAGTGCTTTGATCTCATTAAATTACAACTTATAGTTCCTGGAGTCATAAATATTGTGCCATGTTCTCCCCCACCCCTCCCATTCTGGTACAAGGTAGTCTGTTTAATATCGCTCTCTCCTTGAGCACTCTGACATTTACTTAGACAAATAGCAGAGGTTATGAATGCTGTTCACAGATAGTATCAAGAATTCTTCATGATGCCATAGTGGTGAACCAAGCATTCAGAATGGTAATAGTTTTATCTAACAACTAAGTTTGGTCTGTTTAACTTTTCTTCACAAAACTGGAATTCCATCTTATCACAGACCAATGGTTTAACTGTTCTGGACAAAATCATGTAACAGTACAAAAGAAAAAGGGAAGATTACATTGTAGCTGAAATTCAAAGTTTTATGGAAAATACAAGTATTGGTGATACTTTTAAATAAACCATTTTTTTGCTAGAGGCTTTACTTCTCATGTATTTTAACCATAAATAAATCTAAACTGATCTAGTAAGTACAAAGTGTAATTGCAGAATCAATTGCAGAACCCAAAGACAGCAATGTTTTAGAATTGTGATATTCTGTAACCTAGTGAGGCTTTTTCCACCTTTTGCAATAACAACATATAATAGTTGTACCGTTTTTACTGGAGGACTCTAATGAAATATGCAGAGAGTCCCTACGCATTTAAGTAGCAGAAGGTGCAAGCAGTTTTAACTTTGTAAAAGTGAAAAGGTGCACTGTGCTGGTCTTTACAGAGAACTAGATTAATGGTATACGGAACCTAGCTAATAGGTTGTGTGCTACACAAGCAGGTGGAAAAGCCCTCTATGGATCTGATAATATATGTTTTGCAAAACTTAGAGTTTATTGTGTGCAGAAAAATCTCACTACTTATTCTGTCACAGGGAAAGAACAAGTTGTACTAAGTAAATCTTGTCCTTGAGGTAGAAAAGATGACTGGATTTTCTTCTCTGTATATAGCAGGTGGATGTGTATAATCCATCTGGAACCAAACCCAGATCTGCTAATCCACCAAAGCTGTGGGCGGGAAAACAAACACCCCCCCCCCACACCCCAACAAAACCCAAACTCAACCCAAAATCCACTAAAAAAACCAACCACTAGAACCCAACACAAACCAAATCACCAAAAATAATGGGAAAGTTTTCCACAGTGAGTGAAAGCACAGGCTATGTAGCTATGAAAATAATATAAAATAAATTTATACATAAAAATATGTATATTCTACTCTGAAATTAAAAAAAAAATCATTCCCAGAGTTTTTGCTTATTTTTCTAGTAGCTTTCTGTAGTAAATAAGATCACTAGTAGTATTCCAAACCCTATAAATTAAATTGAATCTGGAAAATAATTTCATCAGTTTTGGGGGAATGCTAAGAAAGAATGATAAGGCTTTAAACCCATTCCTTTGATGTGTTGCTAGCAGCCAACGCTTTAGGGGGACAGTTTCAGAAACACTTCAAGCCCAGGTAAGCCAAGAGTGTCACAAAAGAAACAGTCCTGTTCCTTATATGTGTTTTCCTTTTGCCAGTTGATTGAAGCTAAAACTGACTCCATTTTTTTTGGTAAAATGTAGTTTTGATCAATACAAAATTTTCATTCTACTTTCTCTCTAGACTGCACAAACACCTGTGCCAGCATGAGGTGGTGGAATGGGATTGGAAAAGCAGCCAGCGCAGGCAGATGTAACCACTTACCAAGACAGTGCTGATACCTTATGCAAACTTTAAGTGTATCCAAAACTACAACTATATCTTTTTGGTCTCCTCCCTAGATCACTGCAGCTCTCTTGTAGTCTTTCAGGCTTTCAGCAGCATAGCTGCTTTTTAAAGGTTTGTTTCATTCTGCTGCTTTTCTTAGTCAGATTTCAACACAACCATTTTCATAATTTCACTAGTTTACTTTTATCCATAAATGTGGAAAAATAGTCACTAACTTCATATTCCCAGAAATAACGAATGTGTGAGATTGTCCTGGTCTGAGTCAAAGTAATGGCTGTGATAAGAGCTGACAGCCAAATTAACATTTTAGGACAAAGGATAGTCATTCCCTCTCTAGCACTGAGGCTATAGAGGAAAGAAGTTTGAACCCCAAGTTGTCAGAGCTGTGAGAGGTCAGTCAAGTCTCCAAGGCATATAAAACCAGCTTTATAAGTTGTCCCAACTAGTGCTGCAGATACGATGACTTGTTTCAGCTACGCAGCAAGTGAAAACAGCCCGGTAAACCCTCTTCCAAACTCTCCTAAATATCAAAGTTTTCTCATTGCTTTGTATCTCTTGCAGGCCCCTTCAGCTCTGGAACAGATACATTCCCCAGCCAGGGGAAACACCTGATGGCTTCAAGATCACATTTGCAGTGGTTAGGCTAAGAACAAGGGAACCATAACGACACAAAATTAGCTCAGGGCACTTCTTACTGGGTCCAAGCACTTCTTTTTCTCTTTTCTTACAGAGTGACCCAAAAGATGAGCCTGCAGCCCTTCACAAACAGAACAAGTGCCCTTACAGATATAGTTCAGATATGCACACGCTCACTACATAACTTTCCAGAAATGTTTTATAAGCCAACTGTTGAAATAGGGAATATTGAAAAATGGGCTGTATTTTTTTAAACTATATTGCTCATTTTTTATTCTGTTTTCACAGAAATGCTGCATTTTGCGGAAAAAGGAGTGTTTTCCTGTTATATACAAGTTTTATTAATAAAACTATATTTACAAATAAACAAGCCCCCACTTTTTTTGAAGAATAACGCATTGCCACAGCAAAGTGCTGCAGCACTATGTGACTATTAAAAGGCTAAGAAATTAAATTCCAGTTCAGTTTTCCACTGACATTCAGAATGGGATGGTCAAATGCTAAACAACCAATAAGAATTTCAGAAATAACCAGGATAAAGGCATTTCCTGGTGAACTGAGAAAGCCAGATTAAGTTTCAGTTGGCCCCTCCTTTTGCTTATCTAACAGTATTTTATTTAAAATTCATCACCCATGACCTTAAGAATCAAGAGCACAGCTGAAAAAAATGGATCAAGCAGTATGTTTGATTACTGGAGTACATAAATCATTATCAGTTTCTCTTGCACACCTCTGTTACTCACAAATTTCACTACATAAAATTTTATTAAACTTTTTCCTTTTCTTACCTCTCAAATTACTTACTCCCAGAGAATTTTAAGTAATGAATTACTCTTCTTGTTGGTTTCTTAACCAAAAGCAAGACATCTAATTTACTGTGATGCTTAAAAATTTCTGGAACTCCTTAATTTTTATATTTACTACATATTATAATAAGGATATGCTGCACTTCATCTGAATGTCCCTCTTTTTTGTCACATAAAAATTACAATTCCTTTAAAAAAAGGAATTTTACAGTTGAAGTGTACCCAATGCACACAAGACAGTTGTCCTCAGACCTTTATGGCTATAATGATATTAGCATTCTTAACAAATACAGCTTTTTTTATAGAGGAAAGTTATCAGCACTGACAACTTCCAATATTTTTCTGTTGCTATTCCATACATCGAATATTTCGGATAAACAGGTTTTATATATAAATATATATAACCTATAATTTCAATTACGTAGCTAAATAAACATTTCTAAATGCCATAAAACACAATTCTGATTTAGAAATCAATTTGAAAATTTTCCAGTGTTCTGCTTTACTGTTATTGTGTTTCTCATTTTTTATGATGGTAGGAGTTCTGAAATCTTTGAGATCAAACATTCACTTCAAAACTTGATCTTTTGGACACTGAGGTTTATTCTAGTATATAACTAAACAAATCTAGATTGATTAATCTTTACTGTGGCTGGGGGATTTCATGTAATAATTATAAAAATCAAGTAAAGCACAAGAGAAGGTAAGAATGAAACAATTGAAAAAATCTTAAACTGCCTCTATTTCAAGATAAAATTTAATTTTAAGTCAGGCATCCAGAGGCATCACAACCCAACCTTAACAATAAGAAACTGTGTGCTCTTAAGACCAAAAACCAACACTAAATTCAGGAAGACTTTTCAAGTACTTCTGTACCTTCAAATCTCATTTTTCAGGCAAACAAAGATCATGGTAGGTAAACATCCAATTTTGGATCAATTTAACCTAAATATAAAATGGTCATAGTCCCTTCTCATTTACAAATTATATTCCCTCCATCACCTCTCCCACCTCTTTTAGTTTTGCAAAAAATTCACAGACTTTGCAAAGATTCCATGGTAGTCCAAAGCATTCGTCTGGAAGCTGGGGATTAACATAAGGCCGAGAACAAATATGTGTATGTTTCCTACCTAAAATCCTCAGAGAATCAAAGGGAGAAAAAAACAGCAGAATAGAAAGAGGAGATATGAAAAAGATGTGGTATGGGAAGATACTGAGTTTACAGAACAATTTTGATTTCAGAGGATCCCTTTGCTCTTCTGTCAGCACTTAAGAAACAGCTCAAAGGGAAAATAGAACTTTATTCTTCCCGAGATTACCTACATTCAAGAGTGCAACTCAGAAACATACCTGGCAAATAATAGTTTCTGCATAGATGAGGGCAGAAAAGAGCTTAATGGCCAGACAACTTTGTCCATAGTACCACTAGTATCTAATGTCTCAGTTTCCCTGTCGCGTAACTCTCTCATTTCTGATGGAGATTCAGTTATGCATTTTATCCTACGTTCAAGCTACCAGTTTCCTTCTATGGCAACTAGTCTTCATTTTCTATCTTTGACTAAACTGAAAACATCACTACTACTTTTCTGTATGTATTGGGTCTGGCTGAGGGGGAGTTCATTTCCTCAGAGCAGCCCTCACAGTGCTGCGCTGTGTAGAAAGGTGTTGGTAACACACCAGGGTTTTGGCTGCTCCTGAGCAGCGCTGGCACAGCACCAAGGCTGTCTCTCCAACATTCCCCCTCACCAGTAGGCTGCAGGTGGGCAGGATCTTGAGAGGGGACAGAGCCAGGACGGCTGACCCAAACTGACCAAAGGGATATTCCGCACCATATGACATCTGCTCAGCAATAAAGGCAAAGAGAAAGAAGGAGGAAGCAGGGGGCATTTGTTAATCACAACCTTTGTCTTCTGGAGCAACACATACTAAAGCCCTGCTTCCCAGGAAGTGGCTAGTGATCACCTGCTGATGGGAAACAGAGAATAAATCTTTTGTTTTCCTCTGCTTTGGTACGTGACCTTTGCTTTATTAGCCTTTATCTTGACCCAAGAGGGGTTTTTTTCCATCTTATTTTCTTCCCACTGCCCCCATCCTGCTGAGGAGGGAAGTGATAGAGTGGCTTGGTGGGCACCTGGCCTCCACCCAGGGTCAGCCCACCACATCATATCAGATGGGAGAAGCAAAGACAACACAGCACAGGAAGAAGAGAGGTTGCTAATAATTAACAAGAAACAAGTAGGACAATGTAGAGGTAAATAAAAATTCCCAAGTTACAGAAACTCTTCAGAGCTGCTCAAAGTTTAATTGGCTTTCATCTGAAGTATCTGCGCATAACAAGGAAACATAAGACTAATTTATCCATTAGTCATAGCATGAATAAAAGTTCTGCTGCTTGTCCACTACTTAATATACATAATATACATAAATACTACAGCACTGTCAGTAAGACCCAAAGAATCCCACTTACACATTCAGAAATACACACTATACTTACTTCCTTCAGATTACTTATTTCAGTCTCTTGTCTTTTATTCACTGATGTTAGTTTCTTATTGAGCTGTATTGCTTCCTGTACTTTAAACAAAAGTTAAAACATTAATATATACTGTCATATTTGAATATTTGATTTATAACTGCCATGTATGTGTATACAATTTATAAAATAATTAAAGATCTTAGTGGAAAGGAGACCAAGACTGAAAATAGGACTCAACTACTTTTTCTGTATAGTATGAGAAAACGCTGGAGGATTACATCAGGTGGTACCAGTTGTTCTATACCTCAAACAAGTTAAGACTTTTCTGTATATTGGTTTGTTGGGGGTTTTTTAATACTTCTGTATATTGGTTTGTTGGGGTTTTTTTAAAACTGTAATTTAATTTTTAGTGTCATTTGGTGTCACTTTATTAAGGTCACTTCTCCATAAACTCTTAGTCTCAGTTTTGGTTTTTAACGAAGGCTTTGCTTGTAATTTTAATTATTTTTAATAATTAATTAATTTTCCTCTTCATTCACTCTTAATACTTTTCCTTTATTTTCTCAAAAAGCTTCTGGCACAGCACTTGAATACAAGAACTCTAGACACTCCATCACACACAGAAAGTTCTTTTGTTTTCTGTTAAAGATGATAAGCATCATGGGGAGTGATGGACAACAGCCTTACAATACAATAAGCAATTTTTCAGTTTTATATGAGAATATGTGCTTAACAAATTAAATACTTAAGAATGTAACAAATAACTTCTGATACAACAAAACAAGCAGATGTTCACTCTCTAGCTTTAAAATACTAATATTGGGACATTGGTTAAGCAATAAAGTTTTAGATTTATAATAAAATTGTGGTATTTTCCCTATACAGCACTATAAAACATCAATTGTCACTTTCTTGGTTCCCAACCTACTGCTTTAATACAGCAGATAAAGAACAATAGTTTATCAATGTAAACAATTTGCATTTAAAAAATGGCTCATATACTTTCTGCCTGACTTTTTGACTAACTGCAGTTTCTTGCTAAAAATTTACAAGTTACCTACATGCTTATTGCACATTTTACATACTGCAATGCAAACTGAATTCTCTCTGCAGTAAAAGACACACGGGTGTTAAACTGGTAAAAAGACTAGCTTTATAATAGAAGCAGTTAGTAACATATTTAATCTTTCTACAGGTTCATTTTGCAATTACTGATAAATGTAAGTAGAAATATGGCAAAAAGCATTTATACATGGTTCAAATAGTGTAAATACTGAGAGTAAATATTATTTTTCCATGAAATTGCAAAAAGACTTTTCTGTATCTGACACAATAGAAAAGCCCCGTCCAATGTAAATAAAGGGAAAACACAGCGATGTTTTATCTTAATTTGGTTTCAATATTAAATATTAACCTATTAAAAATTTGAATACAAAAAGTAACTTAGGTTACTGAAATATCACAAATACCCATAGAACATGTTACCAATTTATTTAAACTAGATCTGAAAAATGATTTGGTTTCAGGCAGGAAAAACCTCCAAACTTATAAGCATTAGAATTTGAAAAGTTTTTTGGTGTTTTGGGATTTTTTTTTTGTTTGCTTGGGGTGGTGTTTGGTTGGTTTGTGTTACAGAACTACTTCTCCCTTTCTTTAAAAAAATAATACTTATTTTTATTGACATCCTGTGTATGTATGTGTTTACTATTTTTCTGAATTTTTAAGTGTCTCCAACTCAGTATTGTCAAAACACAGCAAAAACAAATGCTGGAGGACATTTAAGACATACATACCACTGTGCTCTAGTTTTCCATGAACACCTTTTACGATTCCAAACTGATGTGCAATAGTAGCATAACACCTCTCCACTTCATTCAGTTTCTTATGATGCTCATCTTTCGCTGTTAAGTGCATATGTAATTTTTGATCCTGTTAAAAACATAAATGAAGCACCTATTCAATGATAGTAACTAGCATGTATAAATCAACTCTCCAAATGATTTTTATCACAATAGCATAAATGCAAAATCATTCCCAGAATATCACAGTTGTCTGTTTCCTATCTAATGATCAGTTCCCATTTCCAGACAGCACCTCATTCCAAACACCTTCACCTGTGTGTTAGACTATCAAAAAAAGCACTTTAACATATTTTCATATATTGTCCCATGTATTTAGGAGAACTTTCATGTAAACATCTGCAGAACTCTTTTTCAAATCTTTATTTCAAGTTTTCCTTCGTTATGTATCAAACATTATTTAACCTGCCATTGTATTATGAACATAGCTTAACATGCTAATGCTGCCTGTGGTTTATACTTGTCCTCCTTCACTACCACTCAGTACAGCCTTGCATTCTCTCATTCCTTTGACGTAGGATGTGCATGCAGATTAATGCAGTACCCACCCCACATCAGCTATTCAGTACCTGCCCATGTCTTTGGCTGTGGGTTTCAAAACAATACAGTGGCTTCAGCAGCTATATATTTGTCCCAGCTGCAGTATTAAACCAAATACACCATGCTTTCAGGTTGCAGCAACACAAGAAATTATGGGATTTGTTTAAAAATTCTAGACAGCTTAAATCACAGCCAGCACAACCAGTTGTCCCAGCACCTTCATAGAGAAGCACATGGCAGAAACAAGTAAATGGCTGGAGACAGGTAAGAGTAGGAGCTCCTTAAACTCTGGCAACAGTGCTAGTGTACGCATCATGAAAATAAGGCCTATATATATATTTATTGTCTGCTGTTACAGAAGCGATCTATTATGCAAACAGTGTTCAGTCTTCTTTGTAAAGCCACTAGTAAAAGTACTTCCTTTTGTGGTCTTAAACACCTTCTAGCATAACATGGTTTCAATCAACAAGGCAAAGTTTTTAAGCTCTATTGCAATACAAACTCAAAAATAATGGCTATTTTTTTTCAGTATAAGATTGTTCAAAGTATAGGACCACTACAATAATCAAGGGACTGGAGCACCTGACATGCGAGGAGAGGCTGAGAGATCTGGGACTGTTCAGCCTGGAGAAGAGGAGACTCAAGGGGATCTTATCACTGTGTATAAATACCAGGTCGGGGGAGGAAATAAAGACGACACAGCCAGACTCCTCGTAGTGGTGCCAACTGACACAAAGTGAAATACAGGAAATCTGACAGGAAAAAAATTACTGTATGGGTGGCCAAACATTGGAACAGGTTGCACAGGCTACAGAGTCTCCATCTGTGGAGACATTCACAACCCAGCTGGACTTGGCCCCATGCAACTGGCTCTAATTGACTCTGCTTTGAGGAGGGCAGGGTTAGACTAAGCCATCTCCAGAGATGCCAGACAGCCTCATCTATACCTGTTCTGGGATTGGTAAAAATGACATGGTGCAAGAACAGTTAGGAGAGTATTTGTATATTTGACACACTTAAATAAAAGAATTTCAACATACTTGCTAAAAACCAGAAGTGCATCAACTACTTCTAAAGAGTAGTGGTGACTTTGATTTAGACTAGTGAAACTAATGCTGATTAATACCTAATGCTTCCCAGAGAAAGGTAAGTGATCTTATAATGAATAATTATTAATTCTTCAGTATCAATTAGCAGTTGTAATATCTTGAAGTACAATGAATTCACTGCTACTTTAAGATTATATATCTGTAGGGTTTTTTCCTAACAACTTTTGTAAGCATCTAACATTTTATTTTTACTTCTATTAACATTGTGGCCTAAGTAATATTGCAATGAATCCCACATGGTAAGTAAAATGTATTTAACTTCCACGAATTTTACCAATCCCTTTTGCTTTGTGAGGGGGTGATTGAAAAATACATATTCACAGGAAATTATATTCAGTGAGACATGCCACTGATTTTTAAAAATTATTTGTTAGCCTTTCATACACACCAAGTTTTTTGTGTTCCTCTTTATATTGTATTTTTGTTAATAGCTTTGTAGGTACTATTCAGTCAATTTTTAAAGTAATTTTCTCTGAAGAGACTGAGTTAAATTAATTCCTCAGAAAAGATAGCCATTCATTTAGACATCTAATCTATTTCTAATCTACAGTAGAGCAACACAGCAATTAAAATGAATTGGGCCAAATTCATTTCTGTGTATAAATTCAAGTTACACAAGGATGAATCTGGCCCAGTCTGGCTTCCGTAAGGTTCCATTTCCATACAGTAACAAATGCAATACATGTCCAAGCATCAGAGGATAATAAAAGCTGATAGTAATCAAAAGAAATGACCAACATAAGGCTAGCAAAACAGGATATACAGTACAAATTTCTCATGTTTTATAAGGTATGAAATTAAACACACTACAGCAAATGGAAAGCCATAATGGAAGCACCGGTAAAGAAACATCGCCACTTACAGAATCACTGCAAGGAATGTAGGTTGTGAATGTTCCTATAGTTTCTCTTTTTCCTAGTCATAAGTAAACTTTGAAGAACTGTGCTTAACTAATGCTAGAATGTGGATTTTACAACAAAAAAAAAAAAAGAAAAGAAAAGCTATATTTGTTTTTCCTGATAGTCATTCAGGTGTATTTATTCTGTAAGAGATCGATGAACAGGAAGACATCGCTAATTTGAGACTGGAACAGCTTATGGCAACATCTGAGGTTTTTCACACTTTCTTTTATATGGATTTTTCTTAGTGCTGTCTCAATTTCTTTTGTAAGTCAGAAAGACAGTGTTAGTTCCTCCTCCTCACTAGAAAAGTAGAGCTATGCTTTGTTATTTCCCAGGGCTCTTTCCAACGAGAAAAGGAATTGGCTTGCTATAGTCTCAGAAGTTTTAAGAGCTTACCACTTGCCTAAATATGATTTTTGATGGCAAGCTGATCTCTGGGCTTAGTGCACAGTAAAATAAAAGCAGCCTGGCTTGCCTTTTGACACCCTTCCCTGAGTATGTGATTCTTCTGCTCACAGTGAAAAGGTCTTAAAACACAATCAAGAAACACCAGGAAACACTGCAGGATAGGGAGGGTATGACCCTGGAGTTGGAGTGAGATGCACAGAATCTTGGTTCTCCTTCCTAATGCCTGATACTGCAAGAAAAGGAATTATTGCCCTGCCCTCCACCAGTAATAAAGATAAGCTGGGATGGGGAGTAGAACTGATTGTGGCCATATGGTTTGTCGAGGCACAATGATTTCCTGGTGGAACTAGAACAGAGAAATAGCTCAGGGTCAGGTAGGTGACTGGAGGAAGACAAAGAGGGAATTGCTCATATCTCAAAGATATTCTGGAAATTGAGTCACTAGTCAGAGTTACTCAGTGAAGCAGAAGGTGGTAATTGGGAGGTGAGAGTGTCAGAGAAACAAAGGAGATGTAATGGCATGGAGACCTAAGGCAAGATCATGTGAAAATTATGCAAAGGGTTACCAATTTTAAATCTTCAAAACAGGAATTTTTTTTCCACAATAACTCCTTTAGTTCTACTTAAAAATAATTATTTTTAATTTATAATGTATCAATGCCTACTCACTGTATTTTTAAACAACATAGTATAATTACAGACAAATTCCTAAAAAATGTGGAAAGGAAATAAAAATAACATCCCTATTTTAGATTATTAAGAACAAACCAACACAGGAATTAATTTTTCATTCATTTGGCAACTACATCTGTATTACAAACCTTAATGGTGGTAGGGAAGCTCTTGGGAAATGCCTATATGCCATCGTTAAAGTATCCCTGACACATTTTGGCCTATGCCAAGTAGCACTCATGTAAGCAGTTCCTGGGCACAGCTCAGGAGATTGTCTGCCGGGAACAAACCAGGTTATTTGGATGCAGCTTCCCTCATTTGAGGAGTGGTAGAGTTTAATCAACCTAGATGATTTCATATCACTTGACCGCAGCTTCACTAAACGGTCTCACAAACATTTAGTTTACCAATATAAACTCAGTCAGCAAGTGAAACTAGACTAATTACTAGTCATTCACAGAGGTAGTCAACCCATCTACTTTACTCATTAACACTGATGCACTGAATCACTACCTTGTAGACAGTGATGTCTCCCCATTGACTACAGAGATCTTACACTCCAAATTTGCTCTTCTGAACTGCACACAAGATTTGGTCTCTAAACCAGCCAATACTAGCCTTAATCTCATTTCTTCTTTTCTATTTTAGCATGATGATAAATATTTAAGATTTGGGTACTGCAGAAGACAAATAACTCTAAATGCTCACTCTCTAAGACATGTCCATGATCTGCCAATGCAGGTTAACAAGAGAGCACATGAAATTTTATTTTTTTTTCTACCCTACATCAGCTTTAATTCTACACTCAGAGAGTTCTAGCATTCTACATTGTATCACTTGCCAGGAAATCAATGAAGGAGGAAACCAAGACCTGACCAAGCCTATTTTCTCCAGTTATTTATTTATTTCAGCAGCAAGAAAAAGAATACAATACAGAACCCACAATGAAACTTAATCTATCAGACAACTAGCTTTGTTGTAATCACTCTGTATCCTCCTGATTGCATGAGTGCTACTACCCACATGCAATGAGGTGCAAAGTGACTACACCACACACAATAATCAACACTTATTGTGGAAACAAAGGAAAGATGGAAGAAAAATAAATCCTTTATTTGTCTCTATACAGTCTTTCAATATGAAATGAAAACTTCCACTATTTCAAAATTCTAGCAGATATCATAAGAATATTATAACTACAATTTTCACAGAAACTAAACTGGATAGCATGCTAAAATGTGGTGTATATAAGCAATATATTAACATTGCATATGCTATACTAAAAGAACAGAATTAAGGGAACAAACCAGAATAAAATGCTACATGAATAAGGCATGATCGATCCCCAGCACATACGAAAGCTACTTTTCTAACTGGCAGGGTTTCGAAGGTGCCAGATATAAACTAAACAGCACATCTGCTTACTTTCAAAACACTAGCCAGGGCATGATCTAATCTGTCTTTAACAAACTTAAAATTGAAATAGAAATGGGTCTCAAATAAATGAATGGTTTGGAATTTCATCCGTTTTACTTTTTAAACATTTTGCCATTTGTGATAACTAAGTCTACACGGGCTACTACTGCTTTGATCTCTAGAACATACCATTTATTTCAGTGCAACTACTCAAGGAGTAAAGTTGGTAGAATTTGACCCAGTCTAAACATGTATGTATTAGCCTGCTACTGCATAAGGTTGTAGGAAAGAATTCACTTCTCTTTACCTTGTAGGCTTTTTTTTTTTTAATTTGTTTTCATCATTTCATATCAGAGCATCTTCTATAAATACGGCCATGCCACACATGTTTAGTGCTGCAAGCAAAAGAGGATTTCTAATGTCTTGTCCCCTAACTCAACAGCATTTAATAACCATACTCTGAATCAGAGTACCCCAATGTTTTCAAAATATTCAAATAATCGATTATTGAAAGAGTTTATAAAGATAAGAAAGGAAGATATTTAAACAGCACAGATGTATTTCCAGCTTATAGAAAAGGTGCTGCAATTTAAATATTCTCATTCACATGGAAGACTGAGCTTGCAAGTTATGAAAGAAAGGTAATGTGAAGTGACCTAAATGTAAGTTCAATAATTTTGTATATTTTAGACACATTTTTAGATTAGATTTATTTTAAGAATAAATACAAGTTAAAAGTGAAGTAAGAGAAAACACATTTTATGTTGCCTTTGATCTTTAACTTGTAGCCTTATCTCCCAGGTCAGAGGGCACATTATTCAATTTCACCATATTTTGTGTAAAACCACTGTAGCGTTGAAGATGACTTTCAGTACAAATGTCATGGTACTTAAAGCTAAACTGGACCCTAGTTTTTTGAGCTGCTTAATTAAAATCACAGTTTGTAATGGTCTGACAATATTATCTTTATTCTTTCCAGTTGAGCAGCAGCAGAATTTTCACAGCATTTATTCAATCAAGCTTAGCAATCTTTCTGCGGCTCACTGTTTCACTTCCTAAAACAGACAACAGGGTTCAGAACAACTATGCTGTCACTCTATATAAATTTATTCTCTGTGTCAAAGGGAGTAAGCTGGACTGGATGAAATCTAAACTGTTTGGGGGAACTGATGTTAAGAAGTAATTCTGAGAAGAGGAGTAAAAAAGAGTGAGAAGAAAAACATCATCAGTTTTTCTTTTAAAAAACCCTAAGAACTGTTTGGAATTCTTGATTAGTTCTTTGAGAGGAATATGCTAGATTCTATAAGTGTAATATAATTACATTATTCAAATCACAGTGTATAAAAAAATCTTCACTCTAATCTATAAAGAGAACAAACGTATGAATTGAACTAATTCAGGCAGAAAAAAGTTCCACATGATAAACAGCAGCTATCAAACTATAAAAACTTAAAACCATTGTATTTAAAGTTTTTTGGATTCAAGATTGGTATCACCTTTTTGGGGTATTTGTAATAATTATCACACATCATTTAAGTATTAGAGTTGGTTAGTATTTGCATTATACTCTAAGCAGACAATCTCTTTCCATAAAAGCTGTTCCTTAATTTTTTACTTTTGTTAACTTCTTACCATTTCATTCAGTTTCTTTTGTAAAGTGTATTTTGAAATCTGTAAAAATGAAAGAGGTATTAACTAAATTGTAGTTACAATTTTTCCAACAACCACCTGCATATTTAAGTATTCTCATACCTAAGATTTAATTGCATTTATTGCCAAATACTTTTGAATTAATGAAGACACTATTTTTTTATTATTAGATCATGTTACATAATTTCACTTCAATATTTAAATTATGCAAAAATGCTTTACATTGATTTGTTACTAGAAGAATTTTGAAAATGCATGAATACTTGTTTTATGATACGTATCATAAAATAATGTGTAAATGGACTACAGCCTGTAAACTAGACCCTTCCAAATAAACAGAGAAGAAAACAGAGATAGAAATGAAAGTATTTGCTCAAGTGCTAGAGCAATATAAGTGTGATCTCTACTGCAAAAAAAAAGCCTTCTAGGTAGATACTCTGAATGGTGGCATATAAAGACATGTGCTTTAATATGTCTCACACTTGAAGTCATTAACACTTTTTCATACACCACTGACATCAGACAATTTTGAGTTGCATAGTACTTAAGATCGCAAGAGCTTTAGTCTCTATATATCTTTGAACATTTAAAGAAACACTGACAATATCTAAAACAAAGACAAATGTCAAAGTACCCAGTGTGTGTAAAACCTATACAGAAAATATTACTTCTGGAAAATCAAAGCCTGGAGAACAATCTTTTTAAGGTAGAATTCTGACTAGCTATCCAGAAAGGACTACAGAACTGAATTAGAATTTCCTCACTCTTATTTTAGGCTGATTTACAATTTTTCTGGGTCCACAGGTTCCTTGTGACCTCCTACTTCCACAAGTCACAGGAGAATTTCCTAGATCTGAAATATACTGTTACACAAATGTTTGGTCTGTGAACATTAAACAATTAATTTTAAGCTTTTTCTTTTTTTTTAATTTCTGTTTTATCTTCCAAAAGAAAGTCCAGTGGAATCTTTCATTACTCTTGCTGTCCACATATGATGTTCAGCAGACCGTGGAGGGATATTCTACATCATCTGTGCTATGCCAAGGTTTGAACAAGGCAACAAAATCCTTTACAGCTATTACACAGGCGGCCAGCCATGGGAATAAATTTCTTTTGCTCCTACGATACCTTCAGTGTTAACTAAATGATTAAACAATTGGTCTGATACCAAGTAAATGCATCCCATTATAAGAAAATGTTAATAAGAACCAAACATGTTGCAAAATCATGGGCAATAATCCATTATAACCATTTTGTTTTCAATAAAATTAATTATTATCCCACTCAGTTTTGGGTAGAAAAATAATTAGTTCCTGGCAATATCTGAAATCTGGCAATGCATTACAATGTTAATTCTCTTCTGCATTGAACAAAAACCTTCCAAGTTCTACTCTTTTAATCCATTTTCAACATATTTGCCTTGGTCATTAAAAAGAAAACTAAATGCTAGCTTTGTCCTTATGTCTTCCTTTGTTTCAAGTAACTGTGAATCGCAGCCACAAGTGCTCCAATGCCATGTAAAAATATAAATGCAATACAGAAATAACATCAAGTGGCACCAGAGTAAGTTGTGCATTTATCCAACAATTGTACTTTTACTGACAAGCATTGAAAGGCCATAGATTAAATGGTAAATATAGAAACCTCCTAGTGAAACAAAGGAAAATAATAAAAACCAGGTATCACTGCGAGTTGGCGGCCCAGTATGAATACTTGTTTCTGTTTAGGAGTCCAAAACCAGAGTTTCCAGACAGGTGAGAAGAAAGAAGTCAAGAACAGAAAGAAAGAAAGAAAGAAAGACTAGAAAAAGAAAGCACATTTCACATGCTATTTGCACTTTTATTGAGTCTGCAGTTCTTCTGGAAGAAAAGAACTTTAGCTAGAAGGCTAAAAAAGTAGTCTTGACACTGAAGACCAGAACAGAAACTCAGTGCTAGAAAGTGAGGTGTACATGTACTAGAAAAATTAAATGAGAAAGCCTTAAAGACCCTCTTAAAGAACTATTTTCTTACCAGTGAAAAAAACTAAAATCAAAACACTTGCATACCAAGGAAAGTTATTTAACAAAAATAATAGTTTACCTGTAATGCTTTTAGTGCTTCTTTCAGACCATCAATTTCTTTTTCTTTTGTTTCTACAGCAAGTTGATATTTTCCCTTTCAACAAAAGGTATATGTCAGGATTTGGGCAGAATAAATTCATTTACAACAAGAACGTTATGAAAACAAAGTACTACTTTGCTGTGACAGAACAATTCATTGATGAAAATAGGTGAAAATTCAGATAAATAATTTTAAAATTTTTCTATAAAAAGAAAAGTGAAAACACAATAGTATATTTTCACCACTTATAACTAGTCAGTAAGTTTTAAAGTTTGCTGTTCTGGGAGACACCAGCCTGACAAAGGCAGAATTAATAAATTAGTTTAGAACGAAAACACTAAATAACAAAGAAAGTATCAGGCAAATCCACTTTCTTATCCACTGTAGCAGGGCTCTCACAGAAACAGGTTCCTCAGCTTTTCCAATCCACAGAAACTGAACTGTAATCTGCTATCACTAGAATTACTAAATACATGCAAGTACTTTTTATATTTATATATGCGTGCGTGTTTCTGTATGTATTTAGAGAAAAAAAAATTAAAAATCAGCCCACAATTTAGTTCTGAAACAATAGCTGTCATTGAAAACCCAAATCAAGGACTACCTGGGTAGGCATGTATGGAAAACCAGGATGTCTTAACAAGAAAAAACTCCAAATACAAGTAAGAAAATAACTCAACCAGATAATATAAATGCAAACAATACAGTTTACTTTGATATACTTTCAAACCAATTTCACCTGTTTGCAAATGTCTGTGCAAGTTCTTATGAAACATATAGCATACTCATCCACTCTTAATCATTGGGAAATGTAAGTGAACCAATAGAGTCCACACGCAGACATTCATTGGCTTCACTGAAATAGGCTCCTACTACACCAAATGCAAATCCTTTATTCCGAAGAGGAATCAGGCACTCAGCTTGGTATAAATACTCATGTAGTTAAGAAAAATCCCAGAAGTTCAAACTTAAGTATATATTTCTTCAGTTTAGTTCAAGTTCCTTAGGAAACCAGCTCAGGTAAATCAATAAAAGCCCTATTAAAGTCTGGTTTTACTAAACCAGTTAGAATGGTTATTTTTCACTAGTATGTGAAAAAGGCTTATGACAATTTGTCCCAAACACCCAAAATAAAGTAAATTTTGTATAGCTTCAATATAGAACTATCAAAGAACACTTATTCCCCAGTTGATTTTTAACATAAGCAGATTTTAAAGTGACATTTCACAAGTAATTAAAAACTACAGGCTATAAACAAAAACCCTGAAAGTAACAAAGATTATAGAGAAACTTCATTTGCAAAGGCCACAGCAAGAAAAATAATTTAATTGTAAAATACTTAGTTTATACTTAGAACATGTTCAGTAAGTTATATAGCGTTATCATTTGCTTATGTGCTTCACTGATAACAAATAAAAAGTAATTGTAACAGAGTACCTTTTCTTCTTCCACGGCAAACATTCTTGCCTGTAACTTGATTGTCAGTGGCATGAAAAAAACCCAAACAAAAACCCCCGAAACAACAAATTAATACAGCACATGGGATTGATTTTATTCATGCAACTTAACAAGACAATATAATTATATTACCCTGCATAGTGTACTTCTACAGAGTCACAAGCAGCAAGCTTGTGAATCACAAATTATTTTTTCATGAAAAAACAACCTAATTGCTTGTCAATTTCTTTTTTGCGTGATGTGATTGTGATGTAGCATTCGTAATAAATTCTTCATCACCATGCGCAGCAGTTTCACTTCCTATGACTGCTCTCTGCAAGTTCCTTCAGCACTCATATTTGTTGATTATATATCATGGAGAAAAAAACCCCACAACCCCAATTTGAAAGACTGAAATGTTGAACAGAATGTTCAAATGTTGAGAAGTTTCAAATGTTGAACAGAATAAGTTATGTGGCACATCTTTTACCATGATTTATGAATCTAATCTTGCAGAGGACATGCCATATTAGACAGTGGTCAAAACTAAACAAAACCCAAAAAACAGATTAAAAGAAGCATTATCTTCTCTAGGAATTTTTAGAAAGATAAAAATTAAAAATCCCAGGAAGACTGGCTTACTGGGAAGAACTGTCAAAATACAGGCATTATACTGTGTTTGGAAGAAAGAAAAAGATCTGATTTTCTTTCAGCTGTATATTCTAACATTTTATATGCAACAGAAAAATATTTTAATACCAACTGCTATCATGCCACCATATTTTAAAATCTCATTGTCAAAGCTAGAAGGCCTTGTTTTGCTACCTGTTTTTTAAAAACTGCCATAGCTTCTCTGTTTTCTTGGTGCAATGTGTCTGTCTGATGCTGCAGAGTTTCCTGCTCATGTAAAATAACAATAGTGTGTTTTAAATATTATCTCACAACAAACCATACATATAGTATTTAAAGAAAAAACCTGATTCCTTTTTAAATATTTTTAGAAAGACATGATTGATTAAAAACAAAACCTGAAGACATTTGTTAACTGGTAATCATCTTTTTGGTAGCAGCTTCTCTTTAATTCATAAGTTAGCAATTCTCACCTCTGGAATTCAGATTTGTTGATGCTAGAACTTCTATAAGCAACTCTTACCCATCCTATCAACCTGTAGAAGCAATCCAACAGCCACTACCATCTTAAGACAGCATCTTGACACAGTTCTAAGTAGTTATAATAGAATTTTAATATCCATTTTAAAAATCCATGAAAATAACAACAACCTGTTATTCTGTTTTTAGTTAAATTTTAGTCATTTAAACTACTCAAAAGACCTGAAGGACAGAAAAGACTAAGCATAAGGTGATAGTGCAAGATTTTTACCATCCCACTGCCTGGCTTTACTCTCATCCATAAAAACAAGAAAATGAGTTAAAGATGTACTATTATTTTTATTATGTCATATCATAATATCACAGACTAATACTACACTCTGCAAGTTAACATATTTAAGCATTGTGTTCCTATAAAAGATAGGTAATTGCCTCCCTATCGAGGTGAAGTAATACGGAAGATGTTTGTGAGATCAGTTTTTTAAAGTTCTAGACACTACAAAATATTAGGTAAAGGTAGTCAAGAGGCTCTGTCCTTGAACAGCTATTTTAAAATAAAGATAAGTGTTTAGCTAAGAAATATTAGTGTGAAGTAGGAAATGATAATGTAATGACTGCACAAAAATAAATTGAAACTATTAAAAAGAATGACTGGGAGAAAATAAATGATCTTTTTTTTCACACAGGAGAAGCCTAATTTCTTCTCCTGCCTTAACTGAGAAATTGAGAGTTTTTCAGACACAAAGCCTGTTCCAAAATTCCTACTTTCCCCAGCAAATTACTGTTGCTTTCAAGTTCCACAAGTGAGAGCTGTTGCCCTTTGATACCAGACAAGAATCTGTGGAGGTAAGGTGGTTTATATTTATATACATCCTCATTAATTCATTGTAAGATAGGTAGAGAAAGTTTTGATTTGTATCTAACAAACAATACTACATGAACAAACATTTAAAAATGTGAAAACGAAAGTCTTGAGGAATGTTTTCCTCGAGCTGTCACTTAGAACTGTGTTCAAATTCTCTGGTGGATAAAGGGCATACCAAGTATGCTAGAAAGCCAGAAATGGTACTGCAGTGACAAATCAACTATTCTCAGTGGAGTATTCCTACTCAACACAGGAACAAAATTTTATATCCACAGCATTGTTAAATTAAGTTCACATTTCTTCAGATTATAGGAATTCAAACCATATCATACAATAATTTATTTAGATATAAGTTTGATTTCACAGAACAGCCATCCTTCATACAGTTTTGTCAAATTGATAACTGAAAATAAGCATTACTGAGCTCTTCAAAATATACTGTACATTCAAGGGATGTATTTTACTCTAAAATTGAGACCAGGAAGTTTCTACAAATATTCATTTCCTAACAGGCCTTATATATAAATTCAGTTTTGGAATAAATTTTCCATACATGCCGTCTATGTGTGGGGCAGGGAGAGTGAAGAACAAAGTTACATTTTAAAAAATATAAATAAAATCAGCTTTGATAGTGTGATGTTATAGTAAGTATAATGAATATACTCATTAGATTTAAAGGAGTATTTTCTCCAGTAATTCTGAAAACGCCTATTAGCTTGTTCCTTTGACGTTCCAGAGCTCTATGTATGTGTTCACATGAAGTTCCTACAACTCATTGTTTACACGAGGTTTGCCATGTGCCAAATTAAATGCAAAGTGCAGGGAAAGAAGAGAGTTCACCTAACCGCCTATAAGTCCCATCTTTTTATTAACTGTAAATTAAATTGCTGTTATGGTCTCAGAATGAATGGAAATCATCCCTTTTGAACCCAGATTATTAAGAACTGTAATGCTAGGTTAAGAAAAGCAAAGAAGGGTTACAAATTGAAAGCACTGTTGCTTTTACAAATATAAAATGTTTCCTGTTTCTGTGTGCACATATATATCTTTCAGGGAAAAAAAAATAATCACATGGTTAGGATTATTAATTTAAGATGGTTAGGATGAACTCCAAGATGAAATAGTCTTCCTTTACTACTAAGATGTTAAATATCCCAAGATCAAGGATAGAGCTGAAATTATTGGGTTTTCTGTGATCGTAAAATATACAGAGTGAAGCCTTTTATCTTGTAACCTAGTGACAGGGGTCATAGGTTTGATTGTATTAGAGAAGGGAATGGATTTCCTATGAATGCATAACTTCAGAAGCCCTAACCCTAAGAGAAATGTTAGACTTATTTTACAGAAAACTTAATTCTGAGCATTTAAAAGCTGGCAAACCACTTCTGAGAATGTCTAACACGTAAGTTTAATTTTTTTATTTTTTTTTTTAATTTGTCACCTCCAAAACATTGCAAGTGAAGTTGTTTGTACAACTGCACTGGTACTTGCACTTGTCAAAGACAAGCATAATACAGAGAAACTGCTGCGTAGCTTCCCCCACACTAAGTGTCAACATGCCTCATGTCAAGCTAAATGTCTTATTTCTTCAATATTTACATGCCTTTTGACTGAAGATTTCCAGTCATGCCAAATATTATGATGGTACTGTTTTGTTAACCAGATTTCTAGGTTGGGCACTATCTGAATCAATATAAGAGCTACAGAAGTTCACAACTAGACAGTAAACTATTGCCAACCACATTCTAATATTAGAAATGACAATAGCCTCAAAAAGGGAAATTGTACCAAACCACAATCCATATTAATATATTAAAATTAAATCCCAGCAGTTAAGAAATTAAAAACATGTAGGAAAGTTACCTTCTGCCATTCAAGTTCCTGTTTCTCTACAACAATTTTACTTATTTGATCTTCGTAATTAATCTCTGTTTCCTAGTTAAAAAAACAAAAACCAGTTTTACATAAGACACTACCTGCAAATCAAGCACCAACATAAGTTATGTATTCATACTCTTCTTCCTTTACAGTCCAGTACACAGAACAGTATGTGCCTACACACTGCACAGCAAAAAAGGAAACAAAAGCTCTCTGTATGTGGTAAAATAGCAGATGAGTTCAGCTGTTTTGGTCAAAAAATTTGCAGAATAACTAAATTTGAAATGCACAGCAGAATATTAGGAGCTAGGATTATAGCTCTCAGTTAGAAGGAACAGTTCCCTCTTAATACATATTCTCTTCTGTATCTTACAAAACCAGACTCAAAGGGAATAAAGCAGACTTGACTTCGTAGTTGAAAAATGACTGAAGATTCTGATAAACCAAGTCAAAATACTGAGACAAAGAGAAGTTCAGCAAGCTGCAGTTAGTGCTTCAAGAATCAATTGTTAGTCAATGATACAGATAATCATGTTAATGTGTCAGAAGCTTTGGGACACCTTAATTATTCAACTCAAAGCATTTGAATCTTTATTCTTTTTGACATCTCCCAGGACAACTGAAATTTTGTGTCAGCAATTACTTCTGTTATTATGGAAAAAGTGAAATATTTATCATTATCTTCTGTGCCAAGAAGTCTCCTGACATACCAGATGAAAGTAAGAAGTTAAACAGAAGTCATGGAAAATCAATACTTATTTTTTATAAGATGAGCTATCTGAAATCTGAGAAGCCTAAAGTTTCCTTCACAATCCAGAAGATAGACTAGTAACAGGAAGGTGTATTACATCTCCTGTTCTTGCAGAAGCACTCTGTCAAGAATCAAACTATTACTGTGACAATAAATGAGACTTAACTGCTGATAATAACAGTTACTAAAAATTTGTGGGAATTTTCCTGAAATATTTTGGTATTAAAGTCAAATTTTCCTAAGTGGAATTAGCTTCCCTTTTGAGTAAAATTTTTATGAGCACTGGCCTTCCTTTATAAATACAATACCCAAGGGAAGAACAATAGGTTCTCCTGTCAAACAGTCATGACTTCTTGCAAGAACAGTATTTAGGCTTTTATGTATATCATACGCAATTCACTCCTGTACTGTTATTGCATACAGTCAAAATAATGACTATCCTTTAAAGACCTGGAATGCTACACTAATGTGTCGTTCTGAGCTTCAGAAGGCTAATTCCCTGCCTTTTCTCTGCACGCTGATGATCACCTTGAAAAACTGACCACATTAAGGTAAGATTGATTTCTCTTGGTTGAATTGGTGCACTAGTAACATTTGTTGAGGTCTTGTGTTGGACACATTCCAACAAGGGCCAGACTGACTGTGTGAGGGTAAAAGACTACTCCCAATACCTGAACTGTGTTTTCTGAATTACTGTATTTTGATATATTACGCACACCTTCATGCTTTTTTGAGTTCAACTTCCCCACTCTAGTTTAAAACATGCATTCTAAATTGATGAAAAATAAGCACTCTTTAAATGACTCACACCTAAACAGCCCAGACCACTGCAAAGGAAATGGCTATAATCCTCAGGGAAATAGTGACAGTAAAAAAGCCAATTATGGATCTCTAGTAAAAAAATTAAAAGCAGGTCTCAAAAAGATTACCCTCTTGATATTGGGTTTTAAGTAAAATTCTACTGAATTGCAACACCATGAACAACTATTACTTACCATGAGAAGGTAAAGGTTCTTCCTCCTTCCACAGTGAAGCAGATATTACAAATGTTTGTCTACAAAGAATAAAGTATGCTGTATCTTTAAGAAATGCAATTCTTTCCTAAACCCAGCACAAATGAGGGTTCCAAGTTTTTAATTCATGGATATTTATAACACTTCAACAATTTGTGCAAGAATGTTTTAAAGAAGATTTTGTAACCCTTTCTCAGTATAATGTTTGAGCCATAGTGCCACTGTACTCCAATAGAAATAAAATGGCAAAATGTGTCCTAAGGTGATTTAAAATAGGTTTTTGACATTGACGTCTTTTATAGGTTTTAGGGTCAAAACTGACTTCCTTGATTAGCAGGCAGTTTACAGGCACATGTGTGGACAGAAATAACACACACTTCTATCCACAGGAGGCTACTACTAGGCATTTCAAGAGTTACTTGTGGGATCTAAAAGTATGCCTCACATGAGTTTTACATATCAAATATTGAACATACATTTAAAATTAAAATTCGGTTCACAGAGAACTAGAGAAGAGTTCTTTAGCTTTTGCTTTTCTGATATGTACCAGTAGAATATAGATGGAGAAGAGACCTAAAGATTTCATATGCCTTATGGTAAAAAAAAAAAAAAATTAAGAGAATTTAAAAGATTATCAATGCTTCCCAGTTCTGCTTTAACAAATAGCACTTCAGAGTTGCAATGAATTTATTTTCTGATACTAATCTATAAGTACTGAAAGAAAATATGTCCCCCTAAGTTCCCTGGAGTGATAAACACAAATGAGGTTGACTTATAGCTTCTTATAGAAGTGCAATCTTAAGCAATTTATGCCATTAAGCAACAAATGCTATTAAAATGATATATTATTAGCAAAAGCCTTGTTCAAAATTGTAAGAAGTAGGATTATAAGATCTGACCCTTAAACATGCCATGTAAATTATTCTTAAACCAATCAAAATGCACTGCAGTAGTATTCTTCCCTAACTCCAGACTACATATTTCTACCACTCCCTTGTGCAGGCACTAGCGTATGTAAGAGTATTTCAGAGACAAAACCAGTGCACAAATAAAGAGGGAACAGGAGGTGGCCAAGTCATCCCATGGATCAGATCTAGCCTTGGGGAACCCAAGAATCTGTACCAGTGCAACAGTAACATGTTGCCTCAGGAGATGTAGCACAGATTTAGATCAACATAATAGCGAGTAAAACTGCCCCCAAAATACCTGAAGTGCCTGCATAATTGAGTCCTAATATGTTTTTCATAACATGCTAGCTAATTTTTCAAGTATGTATTTTGAAAACATGCAAACTAATCGCACTGATTACTGCATTTCTTCAACTTCTACGCATATAACTGTCTCTGTAAACTCATCTAGTTTGGTGTATTTGTTATAAGCTGAAAGCTCAAGCTTAGAGCATTTACAAAATAAACTTCAAACTGCAACTAGCATCAGAAAAGAAATATAACCATGAAGATAATGTGGTAACAGAGATAAGAAAAGCTTAACATATGCACTATGTTTCTGACCTCACTAAAATTTATGGCAAATATATCACTAATTTCAGTGGTTGTTGGAGATCAACATGTATCTATCAATATTAAACTTGTAATGAAATAAACAGAAAAGAACACAATATTTTAAAGGGGAGCAACACAGATACTAGCATTACAAATTCTTAACAAAGAAAACTTCAATTCAAATAGACTGGGCTTACTGAAATGCAACAGTTACCTAAAGGAAACCAAGCCTTTGATGTATATAAAAAAGAAGTAATTTTAGTACAAAGCAACAAAAATATTTAATAAACAATGGAACTGGTAGACTATTTGTAATCAAGTATATGCAACATTTCATTTTTAAAATGTGTATTTTAAATCCTAATGAGGACACTGAAAATACTCACAGAAATACATTTTTGTGCAGATAGTTGGTTTAAAGTTTTACAGTTGTTCTAAGAAACAGCATGTTAAAATTTAAGACATTTATAATTGTTAACTCCTACATTCATACCAAGCACTTTAATTTTAACTAAATAAATACAATAATACAAGTTTGAAAACTGCATTAAATTCGATTTTAAGTGAGTCCTTTGCTTTGAATACTAAAGAGGGTAGGAACCAAAGTTCTAAGTGAACAACCCTCCTCCAACTTACTCCCAAATTATAAAGGAAAATCTGGAAGCTATCAAAAAAGTGTATATATGTAACTACTGTTGAAAAAATAAACATCATAAATACTTAAACTGAGAGTGACAATTACATGATAGAAGTGTTCTTATGTGAAATTGCTAACAATTATAAGCCTTATCCATCATTTTTACTTCTTCCAAAGGACATATATAGTTTACCCATTTCGAATTGAAAGCTTTTAAAACTTGTGTGAAGCACTTTTTTTTTTTTTTAGAAGTTCCACCAGCTGTTTAATAAGACAAAAACATTTCTCTTATACTTAGGAGAATAATATTGTATATAACTTTAATGAGGTATCAAAGAACCACAAAACCTTAAAAGTGTTCATTTTTTATTAGATGCCTTAGGACTACATGGATTTAAGTGTTTTTATAAAAAAGACTACCATAACAATAAAAGAGGAGTAATTTGATGGTTTATTTACTCGTTATAACCTTTAGAAAGTGTCAAGCCTTCTTTAAAGTGTTTGCTTGAGGCTGTAGTTTTACAAGATGGGCTGTGGATTGGTCAAGCCCCCTCGTTTCTTGACCCTGAACAGATTTAGGAACAGAGTACAGCTGGCTCATGTCCAAGCAGCCAAAACTGCTGCTAGGTACTTTTATTATCTTTTTCGAACTCATAATCTACCTCCTACAAAATTGCACATCCAATTTCTCATGCAGGTCAATCAAATAGTACTCACAGAAACTACAGTTTCCAATTGTTTCAGACTATAATTATAATACCCTTCATGAACTAAACAGTCCGGTACAACTTTTAGTAGACTGTATGAATATCCTTCCTAAGTTTTGTTCCCAGAAGAACAAAAGGGGAGAGAAATATTTAACAACTTTATTCTAACTTTAGTTCCTGGTACAATATTTTTGGGTCTTAATAGTTATGACAGTTAACCAAAATCTCTAGAAACAACGTATTTGGAATTTATTCTCAAAACCCGTCCTTTTTCAGAAGCAGAGAAACAAATGTATACCAACCACCTCTTTTCCTTCGGAAATCTTTCATTGCTCTGTCCTTGGTTCCACTGCACAGACTGCAAGTGCTCTATATTTAAATCAGTCTCATCTATCTAAATATATTCTTTTAAATGCTTGCATTGATATTTGTAATGCTCTTCTCTCC